GACTGTCTAACAACATAGATCATTTTACGCCTGATATTCACATTATGAACATCAGTTCGATAAGTTATTTTGTATATATATTCAATATGAATAAATACACTCTTCATGATAAGACCAGTTTTTGGAATCATTTTCAATCGTTTAGTGAATGAAATTTAAGAAATTCTTCGAAAATCACGATAAAATGTTCTGGGCAAATAGTGTTTGTTGTCATGTGACTTGGAAGTGATAAGATGACATTTTGATTATCACATAAAATGTTTTTTAGGTTTCGTATTATGGGATTTGTCAATAAAGTCATAGAGCCGACATCCGTTTTCTGTTTATGCATGTGCATTGTGTATGCACATTTTCATTCGATAATATAATATAAAATGTAATTTATAATTGATACTTACATCTCTTACGAGGTGTTAGTAGCAATTGACCTCGCGAAATACCATCCGGTAATTTTGAATTTCCAATGAATTTCAGTCAAATATACACTTGTCCTAGAACATCAGACAATTCGTTCAGAATAACAATTACTTCATTACTCTTCCTAAATAATACGGTTAAACTGGGTGCATTTGTTCATTTTCTTTTCCAAGTACTCACATCATACATAATTTAGCAGGTTGATCGAACAATTTCACTTAAGGAATAATTTGAAATTCCTTTTCTTTGATCTCGTTTTTGTCTTTGTAGAATCGGTTTTATTGTTGAGGGTGTGACAACTCTGTGATCGTAAAGTATGTCTTGAAACAGAAAGATAATGTACTAAGATATATAGTTTGGTACGTTCAACAATTTTATGTGAATTCAGTTATTTTTGCCATCTTCAATATAGTTATTTATTTTTATGGAAATGATAGAGTATTGCAGATTTTTTCAAAGACAAAACACAAGCACTATAGGAAAATCCTTAAGGCGCTCGCAGAGCGGTGCCTGAGCGAAAGTAGCGATTCACATTGGATTTGAATCGCTCCAGATTGAATTCATTTGGAAAAACGTTCTCAGGAAGTTTATTTCACATAAACGCAGTTTTCCAGATGAAAGAGTTCTTGAACAGTGAAGTTCGAGGTCTACCGAGTTGACTGTAGCCAGTAGGTTGGACGTGGATGCTTTGTTCACTCACTCAAATTGACCGCCGTGTTGGTCGCTGATTCAAGCCCCAGGCTGAACGATCGATTTTCACTTGCTATCAACCAACCCGTGTTAAAAGGTAAGACCTCGTTAGTCCTTAGCTCACCGACTTCTGAGGTTTGTCGTTCATAGATTCAAAATAGATTTTAAACAGATTTTTATTAAATCTCAAAACGATAAGCAGCCACAGTCCGTTGCGTATTTATGGAATCAAATGTGCTAAGTCACTTGAACACTTTCCTTGAAAGTATCTATAGAAGAGAGACAAATCTCCAACCTTCGATGTTCCAGACTATCAAGGTTGCACGTGATGTTCGCGTCTCCAATCAGGCAGATGGCTCTTTTCTAGATGAAATCCAGCAACTTCGGGGTATGTTTGGGGGCAAAGCTCCATACATGAGAACACTACTCCAAAGAAGATCTGATCTGAGCTTTAAAAAGTATCGAAATTTGCTGAGGTGTATACTGCTTTCTGGTTTGGAACTGTGTTCCCATCTTTTGAGAAGCAGCCATTGCAATACCAACGACATAATTGTTCCAAATCATATTGTGCCAAAACATACTTATCGAAGCAGAAAGGGGAATTGTCTTACCCGACATTATTATATCCGATGCCTAGATTTTTGTGGCATTGAACTGAACCTGGTTGATTTCACCCCAATTCGAAATCACTTCTATATCCTCATTGAGATATGTAACCACCTGCTGCCGGTGAAGATGAGCCTCCGTAGCCGATTGTCCTGAAATGACGAGACAAGTGTGCTTCGTCAGCAAACATTGTTTTTTCTAATAAGTCGTTGATATACAATAAGAAGAGGATTGGAGACAATATGGATCCCTGAGAAACAACAGCGTTGATGATGAAAGTATTCGAGAGATGTCCATCGACGGCCACTTGCAAGGAAAGTTCTTTCAGGAAGCTGAAGAGCCATACACAAAAATGATCCGTTATGATTGTTAGCATAAATAAAGATTCAAATCTAAAAAAATTAACTTTATATACCTACACAGTAGGTATACAGTGGGTATTTCTTTAAATTTGTTTACTGCCAGTCTTCAAGCATAGCCCACTGACTAATTAGAAAATTTTTCTTCCTTATTCAGAAGAATCGGGTAAATTCAGGATATGCAGTTGGTTAGTAGCTCGTCCACGAGATGGAGTGACATTCTGTTATTTTGCTCCACGTTAGGAAGAGGAATGAAATACTCTGAAAGAATTTCGATTTCCAATTATGGAATATCATTGACTTTATGTCGATGATGGTCACTATCTTGCACTGATGAGTGGCTAATAAGCCCGAAACCGGTTTGCCAGTGTGCCCGTTTCATAATTGAAGGTCGACTCTTTCAGTTGTATTGCCAATTGCATATGCAGGAAATTTTCTGTGAAGATTTCTGCACTGACGCCTGTCGGATATAATCCAAAGCCCTTCGTGGACTTAGCCAGGGGAATAGTTGTTTTCTGATAGGCGTCAGTCCATTCAACCTACTGTGTAGATATATCTGAGACTGACTTGAACGTTTAAAGTTCATTTCTTTAGATTTGTTTACTGCCAGTCTTCATGCATAGCCTACTGACTAATAAGAAAATAAAGATTCAGACAAATCAAGGCTTAAAATAAAATATGCGTCTATATGAAAAAAAAAAAGATAATTCAGTAATTACATTAAAAACAGAATGAAATTAAACCTATTACAAATATATAAAAAACAATATCTCACATGATCATGCTGTGTGGCGTTTTTTGTTTCTTCTCAGTAATTTTTCAATCACTCGCATGGCTTCTTTGCTATTATTCACAAGTTTACTTTTTTCTGATGATACAAACTGAAATAACTGAATGTTTTGTTCGAATTAAATTTGATGTGGAGAACTGATGATACGTGTCTGGCAGCTTATTCGTTACTGCAATACCTAGATGTTCTGCGATACCCGAGATTAGATAGTCAATCTATTCCTGTCCACCAGTTTCTTCAGTTCTTCACGGTATTCCCAGATCTGTATCTGAACTCACAACAAGAAGAAAAAACCTTATTCTTGTGAGACACGTTGAAAACTCTGCAAAATACTGGTGCGAGTTCATTTGTGCACTTTTTGAGTAGGATGACACGCACTTCATCAGGACCAGACGCCTTTTTGATATTGAGCTGTTTCAAAATTCGCCTGACAAGGCGCTCTCGAGAAGTAATTTATGGCATTGTGAATTCTATCGTGGGAATAGTGGGTGGTGCCTATCCCAGAAAATCGTCTGTGAAAAGGGACACAAATTTCGAAATAATAATTTCTTTCGAAAGTGTTTCCAAATGTTTTCAAAATGTTATAAAAAAGCTCACAAGAATATAAAAAAATCTAAAACAGAATTATTGACAGAGATGTCAGAGTAACTAACCATTCACCAACAACATTCAAATTGTTTGCATAAATAATAATTGTTTTTGAGTTCTGGGTCAAACATTGCGATTATTCTACAATTATTGTGAATATCTTGAAGATAGAAAACTATCAAATTATTATTGGTTATTGCTGTGATAGTGGAAGTGGAGAAGAAATTTATTTTCATGCCATAATTACGTAACGCTCATTGAATTTATTGAAACGCTGCGTGATACAAACAATACCTGCATGTTCTGAATAACCCATAAATCATTTTTTAAGTTGTTTTTCAGTCGAAGTGTTTACTGACTTCATAAATTCCAAATCATTTTGTAGATGTGCGAAAGTGAAAGTAAGCAATTATTCTTGATCAGTAGCATGTCAGCTTATCGCTGTCCCTATTTGGATAGTGAAAATTTATTGATATCACGTAAGGAGAGCGGAAAAATATGATATTGAGATAAAAATGGCAAAACAAAAATAAACATTGGAAAAATTTGGCATTATTCCATATCAACAAGAGATAAATATAATTTATAGTTTCGTAGATATATTATGTAGATAGAGACGATGTAGAACTGATGAAGTAGGCAGACAAAATAAGTTCGAACATATCATCTCAAGTTGGTTTTCACTTTGAGGTTGGACTATTTGAGCAAGACATGTTGTTTAGACGGCAGTTATTTATGTTGATTCTCAGATGATTGAAAAATTAGTCAAAAAATTAGTGAAATTTTAAAAGCCTTACACTAACAGTTGCAAAAGTTATAAAATTAATTATTGAAGATTTCTCAATAAATGGATCTTTACTTTCCCAAATGAGTCAAAAACAACCAATAATAGTGAAATTTCAGGAAAACATAGTGTGATAATAGGCTTTCTTTGTAAATAATTGGAACTGAGAGAATTGAAAATTCAATTAATACTGCCGGTAGTAGTTTTTCAAGCAAATTCTGAAAATTTGGCAATCTATTCGGGGTCATTGGCAAATTCTTCAACGTTATTGGGGGTAATATACATGTTGAAATCAAAATATGTGTGTACCTTCAATGACGAGTTTTTTCAAACTTCAATTTATTTTTTTATAGTTCAATAGCAAGAAGTTGGTAATAATTGAACATTCTACAATGTGTAAAACAGAAAAAAAGTGTAGATGCTTCTGTTCTACAATCATCTTATATATACTGTAAACGAGTGTAAACCAATCTCTAATACCACTTGGGAATTTTAAAATTCTGTTGAGCTAGCAGAACTTCTTTGGATTTTTATTTCTACTTTCAGTCCATACTTTCTGGCTAGTTCTGTACTTCAATTATCAATTTTTTACTATTTATTTAACGGATATGTCGTAGGTAGAAATACTATATTTTTTGAAAAATGCATGTTTCAGCCAATTTATTGATATTTTGTACTTTATTGTAAATTATGAAAATTTTATTTTATCACTTACCTGGATGTAATTCTGATAGTCCTGATTTATAAACTGTTCATTTCATTTCAGGTTCCATCATCTTAACCAATATTAGGTGAGTACCTATATTTAATTTTTTCATTAATCAAATCGTAATTTTTCAGAATATTTTCATAGTGATCAATTGCAATATATCTTTAGACATATGTCATTTATTCGAGCATAAACCATAGTTTATTATTTACTTCATTACAGTGATTATTAGATATGTAGATAGATAAGATATTTCATATTTTTATTTTTCTACAATCAAAAATGGTTTATGAATTGAAACAATATTTTCATTTATTGTTAGATATATACTGAATGGTTTACAAAACAACGATACATGCTTGACTTTACTTTACAATAGCTTCTTTAGGCGTGTTTATGCGACCAAAAACAAACTATTGTTTAGTGGAATAGCTCTTTTTTGCTATTGTATAGTGAAATAGCTTCTTCTTTATACGAGTAAAAACATGGTGTATAGGGAAATATGTGAAATAGCTTCTTTAGGCCTAGCCTAACCCGCTAGTATTTAGTAAAATAGCTCTTTTGCGCTATTGCATAGTGGAATACGTGAAATATCTTTCTCAGGCGTGTTTATGCAAGTATAAACACACTATTGTATGGTGAAAAAAGGGAAATAGCTTCTTTAGGCATATGAACCCGCTATTATTCAGTAAAATAGCTCTTTTCCGCTATTGTTTAGTAAAATACGTGGAATATTTTCTTCAATCGTGTTCATATCAATATAACATGACATTTCAAAGGAGAATTAATCGAAATAGCTCCTTCAGGCTTGTTTATACTAGTATGAACACGCTATTGTATAGTGAAATACGTGAAACAGCTTCTTCAGGCGAGTTCAAGCGATTGAAATCACACCATTGTATGTTGAAATATGTTTAATGGCTTCCTTCAGCATATATGAACTCGCTTTTGTTTAGTGAAATAGCTCCTTTAGGCGTATTTATACTACTACGTACATAGTAAAATATCTGAAATAGTTTCTTTCGACGTATGAACCCGCTATTGTTCAGTGAAATAGCTCCTTTAAGTGTATTTATACTACTAGGAACATACTATTATATAGTGAAATACGTTTATACGATTAAACACACTATTATTTGGTGAAATATGTGAAAAAGCATCTTTCGGCGTATGAACACGTTATTGTTCAGTGAAATAGCTCCTTCAGTCGTATTTCTACTATTATGAACATATGAAATACGTGAAATAGTTTCTTCAGACCTATTTATACTAGTATGCATTCACTATTGTGAATGCATAGTGAAATAGCTTATTCAGGCGCTTTCCACAAGTCGAATGAATGTTTTCAACTGCATTTTGTTCATTTGGTCTACAGTATTGTTTCAATTTAATTTTTTTATTTTACAGTGAAAACTCCAAAATATCCGGTAACACGGGTAATCTTTATGACTGTCATAATTTCCAGACTTGAAATAGGTTTTTTTTTTAAATTATTTCCACAATTGTTATTTTCCATAAAACGCCACGTTGTGATGTGCGGTAATAATTGTGATAGGAATTCATAATAGTATATCTTTGAATGTATGACCAAGTGAGATTTTTGAATCTACAGTAATTTTTGAAACTGTCAAGTGGCGATGTATGGTTATGAATGTGACTCGAATTTATTGTCGTATATATTGCAGGAGAATGTGAAAGAGATTTTTGATTCTGATTCTACAGTCATTTTTGGAAACTTTCCAAAACGTACCTAAAAAGCAACCACTATTTCCTACATTATTACTATTCTTTTGAATGCAAACAAAAGCTGTAAGTAACTGAACTGAACTCATTTACATATCATATTTAGTTTCTTCTTAAATAAAAATACACACAATGGCACAATGGAGAGTCCGCGTATTTTCCGATTGGCCGCTCCTTTTCAATACTCATAAAACAATAAATGAATTAGTATGACAAGACGATATGTAATTTTCTCCAGAAAATGCATCTTGAAACTACAAAAACAATGCGACGTGAGCGGGAGCACTGAACAGTACAGGACCGTCTGCTTGAAATTCTTACTGATAGATTTTCATCTTTCAAAAAACAGTTACAGGAATTGTATAATAATTGAAAACAGGTATTAATACAGTTTATGCTCATTTTGCTATTCACCCGAAAGAAAAATGAGATTTCTGGAATTGCCTTTATTTATAATTCATCACTAACGATAAACTCTCTGCTAACAACGTTATATTAATGGGTGAGTTCCTAATGAATACTCAATAACTCCCTTGAATATATCAGTCAAACCTGTACTTCCATTACACCTCATAATTACACTTATTTTACTTGTTCGCTGTCGTCTGTAACTATGTCGCCTGTCCGAACTTTGAACTAATCCACGTTCTATATCAACTAATCTGAGAAGAACAATCCTAATACGTGTGTCTTATCAGATTCATCTGTCTCTCTCACTTGACTCCAAGAGTTTCTGGTGTATATAAACTCAATATCGTCCTCGAAAGAAATCACGGTTTCAGCATCTTGCCTCACAAGTAGTACATTTATATAAACTATGGAAAGAAAAGGTCCCAATACGGTTTCTTGCGGTACTCCGTAAGTTACAGTCCTTTCAGTATTCAATTTTTCTTCAATTTGGATACGATTTGTTGGACCCATTGAAAAATTTCTCAGGATATCGTTAACTTCGTCGCGAACTCCTAGGTGTTACAGTTTCTCCAGCAGAAGTACATGATTCAACGTATCAACTGAAACATAACAAAGAAATGAAGCTACACTACGTGACATATGAAAGAGTATTGACATTCTACTTCTTTACAAGAAAATATTTCAGTCTACGAGTGAATTCCCAGAAGATTCGAGTGACACTAGTCTCCAACTCTTTATCAGAATTATTTCGATATCTTTGAGACACATGCAGCTGCACAATGAAGGTTCGTAAAAGTATTCAAAAATTCCTTTACTTTTATCCCAAGAATATACTCGTAAATATAGTTAACAAAAAAAGAATATTTTTAGTCGATATTAATTTATGGGGTAAAAGAATTCCCTTTATTCGAAAGTTCCTGACTCTGTTTTCCATTGATTGAAAAGTGGAAAGCGTAAAAGGTATTTCCATCCCATTTCTGTTTGAGTACTGAAGTAACAGTTGAATCTCGTTCCAGCAACTTGAAAAAATGAGTATACCCAATAATTGAACAAATATTTGCGTCTGCATTGAAAGGAATACATGCAGATGTACTCAGATCGAGTACTATGCCTTTATATGCCGCCAGTTGACCCCACAACTTGATGGTGAATCAAAATAAAAGCTGTTACCGAAACTTGAGCAGTTAACCTTGGCCTAGAGACGGCCCTGCGTCATCAAGGTTGCCTGATATGGATGAGCCGAGACTGTTTTGGTCGACTGTTTGGGTCTGTGCCAAACGCTACCGGGTTCATCGGCATTCCCGTTGCATTTTGTTTCTTTTACACGGTATACTGTGGTCAACGATGCGAGGAATATATGATGCGACTTGATGATAACTTGAAAAACGAAAAAATGCCTCAGTTCATTAAGCTGATAACTAGTTGGAACCAGAGCTGATTTTAGTTCCCCTTTACTTCCATGCATGCTCATCCGACAAAAATAGTTATGTAAATTAATACAACGATCTCAAAAATGACGTAAAAGTGTGATCAAGAGATAGTAAATGTGTGAATGTAATACTTAATTGAAAACAAGAAAATAAGCGAGATATTTCAAATCAAACAAAAATGATATCAATAGAAGAAACATAGGTTACCTCTTTATCTAAGTGATCTGGATGAATTAATGACTGCTTTGACGTTATGGGTGCAAACTCAAATAACTCTTGCAGTGGCCTGCTTGATTCTCACCATTCGACGATAACAGAATGAACAAAAAACTACTGTCAGTTTAATCTAAAGCTATAGGCTCAGACAAATTATTATTCGTATGATCCTGAATTACTGTCCTACTATTCTAACCTGTATCAAAAAAAATTTCCTTATACAAGAAAACTTTATCTCAAAATAAATAATCTTCGTTCAGTCGGCATTTGTTATACATTATTGATTCTAAAAAATATAGGAATCATCCTAGAAACATTCGGTATTGTTCCCATCATAGCTGCACCACAGCAATTGTGAAAGTGACTGACGATATGTACCTGTTTATATAGAAAAATATATTATAGGCACTTATTGTGGTTTAACATTCGGAAGCTTTCGATTGATGAAACAATAAACTCCTATTGGCAAACGATATACATAGCATTATCTAGTAGCTGTTTGTTAAATCTTGTCACTCTTATGTGATAACTGCGAATCGAGGTATACTCCAAGGATCGAACATATGTTTTCTGTTATTGACAATTTATATGACCAATTTCCATAATATCGTCCACCAGGCACTGTCGGGTGGGGTGTCACATGTGGAGGTAAGAATCCTCCTAATCCTCATCTCAAGGTATGTATAAATGAGGTAAGGGAATGTGTGACTCAGAGATCATTCAATCTCTCTAACGGAACCTTTGAGATACCGGGTGACCTTGATTGATCTTCTTTTCCCAACTATTCGTGGAACTCGTTTTTGACCATGACGTAACCAAAGAATTCATTTCTGAATCTACAAAAAAATGGTCATTGGCTAAACGGCTGTAACACCAGTTGAAGACCAAGAGTGGTTATCCAACTTTTGATCCTGCTGAGATATATAGGCGACTAATTGGTAACTTATGAATCTGGTCAGCAAACACTTGATTAACTCAAAGCAGAAGGAAAAAATATCTCCATCTCTGATTACTAAGTACTTACTTTAAGATGTCATCATATGGAAACGTATTTGCGGTCATTAGGATATGAATTTTGCATTTTAGTACCTCAATATCGACCAATCAACTGGAATCTCTTCAGTATGTCAACAAGCCTGCCGTAGAAGATATTCCAGTAGATGGTCCTCAGGTAGAATTCTAGAGATATACATTCCAACCTATGGGTGACCTGGTAGAATCAGGTAGACATCTTCTGCTTGATGGATGCAGATAGTTATTTAGGGAAAGTTCAAGATTAATT